TATATATATATATATATATATATATATATATAAACAAGCTGTATACATGCAATATGGATGCAAATGAAGGTTATACAGCCATTATTTGTTTAAGCAGACTTCCTTCAGTCACCGTCTTCTACAAATTCAACTCCTCCAATGAGAAATTAAATGTAGACTATGCATAATTATCCCAGTATCATCTAAAGTGTCACGATCGCGGGGCTAGCGAGCCGGAAAGCAGGCGATCGGAGCCAGAAAGCAGGGTAAAACGGGGATTTATTAAGACAGGACCGGACTGGGGAAACACGACAGCAAACATCAATGACGAGTCTGGGGAAGACTGACTCAGACGAGGACTAAATACAAAAGACAAACTACGGGTAACGAGCCACAGGTGAGAACAATCAGGGATGAACACAAGGTAACGAGGTGGGCGTGGCACACATCAGGAGCGGACGGAGCGGGGCGTGACACAAAGGGACTTTGTACAGGCATTCATCGTACTCGTACTTAATTTGAATCATTTGAGTTAAATACATGACTCATTAATACTCTTGTAAGACATGTATCACATATGATTAGGTGGCTTTTGATTTTTATGATTTATTTTTAATCAATGCTCTATCTAATAGATTATTGAATAGAAAATTATTAAATATTTACACCACTAGTTGGTTATTGACAAACTGAGTCTATTACGATCCATCTCTGAATTTGGGTCTGAGAAAGAGGATACACCCAGACATTTTACTCTATTGAGTATCACACTCTAGAGCCCACACCATTGCTCAGAGTTCAGAGACCTCCAGTGTCCCACTGTCCTCCTCAGCTCAGAAGGAGCATCTGGTCACTGAGAGTGCTGTTATTGCATGGACAGTGCTAAGCTGAGCTCTTCTGAATGCAGACCACAAAAGCCCAGGTGCTGGGGACCTTGTTTGCTAGTATTACCTGTAAAACTAGTTAAGTATTAGTTAATTAATACAGTAACACGTTACTTAAAGCAGTCCTGTATATTGCATTATAGTAATATTAATTTTGCATTATAATGCATTAATAAAGTATTACAAACATGGCTATAACTATTTATAAAAAGGTGTAATACATTATGGCCATGTTTATTATGCACTATGAATACTCTCTGAAGCTCTCATCTATAATCCACTATAAATACCTTCATAATGCAGTACACGGCATCCTTAAGTCTCATACTGACATGTTAATGCAGTATAATGAAGGTATCTATAGTGCATTGTGATGACTGCTTTAAGTGTTACCATTAAGACATCTAATTCTTATATTTAATACATCTAGTTAATTATTAAGTATACATCTAGTTGCATTACAACTATGCTTCTTGGACGGCTAATTATTATCATTGGTTATCGCCTAGAAGTCCACGCTCATGAAATTTCCTGTGTTTTTCTCATAGCTGCAGTGTGACTAAGATAACTTTGTGGAGTCAGAGATACAAGTGATTGCTTTGGCAAGATTTGGTTTCTGCAGCAAGTCTGTGTATACATCAAATTTTAAAGTGTAATAAATACAAAAGAGATAACTATGAATTTTACACTTACTTGTGAAATTACCTTGCTCACATCATCAACACACAGCCTCTGACTGTAAGATTCTCACTTACATTTAAGCAGGCTCAAGTAATTCCACTGCTTAAAAACCCACACCATCAGAAGTCATACTACAATCCAGCCTCTCTCCTCAAATTTCTGGATAATCACTTGAGTGTACTGACCTAAATTAATTTCCTGAATTTCTCGCACAGAATACCTTTCTGGATCCTCACCAGTTCAACTTAAAGGCAAGATCACTATCCTGATGTATCTGCACTTCCTGCAAACTGCAAGAGCTGCATCTCAGTCATCCTGCCAGATCTATCTGCAGCCTTCAATGCAGTGAAGCACCCCATCCACCAATGCTCCCTAAAACCGAAGCCTACTTCCACTTTCCTAAATAATTATCATCCCTTCAGAAGTATTTCCTTACAATCCACCACACTGTGGAAGAGATGCCAACATGACGTACTCTGTGTCTGTGAAGGACACAGAGATGCCAACATACAGGACCCTGTGTCTGTGAAGGACACAGAGATGCCAACATACCTGACCCTGTGTCTGTGAAGGACACAGAGATGCCAACATACCGGACTCTGTGTCTGTGAAGGACACAGAGATGCCAACATACCGGACTCTGTGTCTCTGAAGGACACAGAGATGTCAACATGCCGGACCCTGTGTCTGTGAAGGACGCAGAGATGCCAACATACCGGACTCTGTGTCTGTGAAGGACACAGAGATGCCAACATACCGGACTCTGTGTCTGTGAAGGACACGGAGATGCCAACATACCTGACCCTGTGTCTGTGAAGGACACAGAGATGCCAACATACAGGACCCTGTGTCTGTGAAGGACACGGAGATGCCAACATACCTGACCCTGTGTCTGTGAAGGACACAGAGATGCCAACATACCGGACTCTGTGTCTGTGAAGGATGCAGAGATGCCAACATACCGGACTCTGTGTCTGTGAAGGACACAGAGATGTCAACATGCAAGACTTTATCCATAAACTGGAACCTGAGGGTTCTACTCTTTGCCATAGCTGGTGTCAAAAGATTATGCTGACCTGAAGACAGAGATCCTGAGCTGTTTGTGCCACTTTCACATCCCCATAGTGCTCAGGTTTCACAGTTGGAACTAAACCCCAGATCAGCCACCCTGAATGTAAACATGTCAACTAATGCAACTGACACAGTGGTGGCTCCAACCAAACTGCCACACATCAGAAGTGGCTGAAAATGTGGCCAATGTCTGCTTCCTGTGGTCCTCCTGTGTGCCAAGAGGTGACTTATTTGCCAGACAGTTGAAACAACCCTGATGTAATGGAAGATGCAACAAACAGGGCTATCACTTCCCTCACACAAATAAAACACAGCACCAATGGTTCTGCTAAAGATACGTCTGAGTCTATGGTCATGGTCCTGATGGGGACACAGCGTTGCATTCTGGGGACCTCACAGCGCCCCTGACTGCGAGATGAACCCACACTCAGCGGTCATGAGCACAGCCTGACCCCAAAAATTAATTATCCAGCTGTTGGCTGCCATTATGTGAGCTGCAGGTTCCTCACCCTCCAAATCTTTACTCTCCATAATAGCATTGATATTGACTACGGGAATGTATGCACTGCCTCCGGACTAGACTGGTGGGACCCCTCCATTCATCCCAAATATAACCTACTGCCACTGTCCTGATCAGTGACCATATTGTAAGAAGGGTCCTTGCTATGCTCCTAATTAATTAGTGATTATTTCACATTTAAACAGGGTTTTTGAATTTTCGGTTCCAGACAAGTCTGCACATACATGCACACTACTTTTACTACCTTGTAAATAGTCTGTCTGGTTTGCAAACTACCTCAACAACACTTTTGATGCAGCTACTGTTCAGTTTATAATGGAATAATGTAGATTTGCTGTAAGATTTCTTGCATGAGCGTGAGAGTATGAAAACGTGAGAGTTACACCAGATGCATGACAGTTGACAACCCTGTAATCCGTCTGCTTCTGGCTAGCTACCTGAGACTAATGCTACGTGCACAGCAAACATGACGGGGAAAAGAAAGTCATTTTCTCTCAATGAGAAATATAGACTCATCAAAGCGTATGTTAAACTGCCAAAAAACGAGACACCAAGATGCAGCTTCGAAAGTACAATAAGCGCGTTGAGACAATGTAACGTTGTGAAAATGCACTGTATAAATATTATTGGATTGAATATTTATGTACAGTACTGTATTATAGCGTATAATTATACACAGTTAAGTAATTTAATTTTTACAGTTATTTGAAAAGTGTTTGAACAGCTGTACTGTATTTTGAAATAGTCAATAAACTTAAGTAAGTAGGCACAACATTCAGTCATGTTTGGTTTTGTGAAGTTAAACCTCTTTTATTGTTTTATATTAAAAAGACAATAATGAATATAAACAATATTTTAAAAGTTAAAACAGTAAATGTCCTTAAAGATGACATCAAATCACCATAAGGGTAACGATAGACACTGAAAGCTGGTGACTGAGTACTCACTCTGTGTAGAATTTCCACTTTTTATACAGTATAAACCTCGCAGCCTATGGTCGACATTCAGTAATCACTACCTAATTAGGAGCATAACAAGAACCCTCCTTACAATAGGCAGCTGACCAGTGACTGTTCTGTCCCAGCTGTCCCCCTGAACACTCTGCGGACCAGGTTGAGTAACTGTAGCTCCAACAGCAGCTCTATGAGGGTCGGCAGACAGTCTGGGACTCCTTGTGTCAATCCATTCATATCCGCCATTTTATTTTTGCATATTACACGCAGGTTAGCCAGTGTGTCTGATATGAACCAACAGGGTCAGTGTTATTCAGGGAAAAATGGCATGGCAACATACAAATGGAGAGAATCGTTCATTTTGATTTCTGTGCACGAAAGAAAGTGAAGTCTTTTTGCTTTTGTGGACAGAATGCAGCAAGGCATTAGTTGATTTCATCATTAAATAATGGTTTTTGTGGCACAGAATTTTGTACATGAAAATGAACGCTTGACAGTTGGTGCCCCATATAGAGCTTCATCCATTTCATCCATATAGTTTTTTGTGAAGCAATAATAAGATCCATCAAATACTTTTTGACTCCACAGGGTTAAATGTCACTTTTCACCCTTCCCTTTGCTCTCACTATGGGACACAATTTCCAGATGATCGGTCTCAAAATATAAGCAGTTCCAGTTCGGGATCTAGACTACACACTGTGTAAAGAACTGCTTTCTCAAATCTAGTTTAAGAGGGTAAAGAGTTG